ATTGTGGTTTAGAAGATAATCAAGAGAAGAAGAAGAAGAAGAAGAAGAAGAAGAAGAAGAAGAAGAAGAAGAAGAAGAAGAAGAAGAAGAAGAAGAAGAAGAAGAAGAAGAAGAAGGCCAATGCATGGAAGTTGGGCGTTGGGAGTGAGACCAGTTGGTGCAATTCCAACATCCCTCTCCATACATTGACAGTTTCCAGTTTCATTGACTGTACAGGGCATACAGATTTAGAGGTTTTAATTAACTGGAGAGGGGGAATGACATGGGAGTGGAGAAGAAAGCCAGTCAATTGTCACCTTCAGTAGTGCTGTCATCCAAAACCCACACAGAACAGCACCATTTGCAAGTGCATGCACCAAGTCTACATGCTAACTAATTACCCCATCTAATCAATCCCAAACAACCTGGTTAATGAGCAACCAGTTGATTACTTCTGCTCCTATAGTAATCTGTTTCTTGTTTAACCAACAAGGTCATCACAAACTCCAGAATGTCACCTGCAAGCAGTGCTTTTTTCTTTTTAAAAAATGTTTAGGGGTACTCTCATTTTCCTACTCATATTGAAATACTGCCCCTCAATGAGGCCAAAGTTAGATCCACAAAATGTTTAGGGGTATGCGTACCCCAGAAAAAAAAAACTGCCTGCAAGAAAAGTATGATATTACATGACCAAACAGAGGGCAAAATAACTTCCTACAGTGAAATCAAGACATGGGTTTTGGGATGAGGAGATTCAAAACATTAATGTGTATGTACTATAATGTGTATTTCTATAAACTTAGCATGCTTAATGAAAGAGAAAATAAATGAAGAAATGAAAGGCATAATGGGAAAAGATTGAGATCACAGAGTAATTCTGAGGGCTCACCCACACTTTCGCTTGGTCCATATTTTGATCATAGGTAAAGGTAAAGGGTAAAGGGACCCCTGACCATTAGGTCCAGTCATGGCCGACTCTGGGTTGCGGCACTCATCTCGCTTTATTGGCCGTGGGAGCTGGCGTACAGCTTCCGGGTCATGTGGCCAGCATGACTTAGCTGCTTCTGGCGAACCAGAGCAGCACACAGAAATGCCGTTTACCTTCCCACCAGAGCGGTACCTATTTATCTACTTGCACTTTGATGTGCTTCCGAACTGCTAGGTTGGCAGGAGCAGGGACTGAGCAAAGGGAGCTCACCTCATTGCGGGGATTCAAACCGCCAACCTTCTGATCGGCAAGTCCTAGGCTCTGATTGGCAAGTCTGATCGGCAAGTCCTAACTCACAGTGCCACCCACGTTCCATTTTGATCATATTGTGTGCCAATTAATTCCTCCAGGTCAAGGAGCGTTTAGCGTTGTTCTGCAGCTTGCCAAAATCTGATCTTACCCACTGAACTGAAGCACGTTTAAGCAAAATCTCTTTTTGGATTTTCCGCACAACTGATAAGATCAGATTCAGCAGGTAAGATCAGATTTTTGCAAGGCACAGCCATGGAACAATGAGAAAAGCTTTAGGACCCAGGGAAATTAATTAGTACACAAAACAATCAAAATAAGGGTTGAGCGAAAGCAGGGATGAGCCCTTACAAATTAGCAAAAATGAATCTGATGTGTGAAATGATTTAATGCAAGGTCTAAAAATGAAAACAGAAATGTTTTGCTTGTTTTAAATGCAAAAATAAAGCCAAAGGAAAGCAGTGCATGCTGACAAAATATTAGCAAGGTAATCAGTTTTACCTCACCAAATATAAAGACATACCCTCCAAGACTGGATCTAAGAAGTGTTTCAGTTTATAGCACTGTAAATTTAAACAGGGAAAACAGATAGAGAAAAATGGGACTCCACATCGCCATCTGGTAGCACAATGTTATATCTCACATACAACACATATAAATTGCTTTTTCTTTACCAGTTTAGCTGAGTCCCAAGTGTCCCAATTTTCCAAGAACAGTTCCAGAATTACAGAAGCCACCCCAGTTTCTGTTTAGATCCCAGAAAGTCCCAATTTTCCTTTTTCCTCCCCTCCACATCTTGAAGAACAATTAAAAGTGAGGTTTGTGTATGCATGTTAGGTACAAAAAACAGAGTCCTGTTTCTACTGAAATAAAATACCACAGCAAATGAAGGAAATGGTGAAGCTGGCATATGGAGCCCTTCCTACAATTTTGAAGGAAAATGTCACTAATTTACTTTGAATTCGTTAATTGCAAGGCTTCCACAGCCAGCCATTTCTTAAAAAATGAGCAGAGTGTTGATTCCTTTATTATAAATGGAACATTGTCTGTTCAGAAGTAAGTCCCACTGTATTCAACAGAGGTTACTTCCAGGTAACTGCATAAAGACTGTGCAGCCTTACACTGTAAACCCAAGCATTTTTACTCAAAACTAAGTCCCACTGAGTTCGATACGATTTACCCTCTGGTATGTTCCGGATCATTCTCATTTCTTCTTCTTCTTCTTCTTCTTCTTCTTCTTCTTCTTCTTCTTCTTCTTCAATTTTATTTCATACCTTTTCTTCACACTTTTTTTCATTAAAACAATCCTGTGTAAGGCAGAGAGGCAGTGAGACTTCCTGATGTAGAATAGGATGTCCCTATTTTCATCAGAGAAATTTTGGAGGGTACGTCAAGAGAACCCAAGCACATTTCAACCTTGGTCTGCCACAGTGCTCCTCTGCACCATGTTATGAAAAAAAAGGTGTTTATTAGCAGAAATTTGCACAAAAATGTCGATGAGGACTTAAAACAAAACAAAACCCCACAAACTTATTGGGAGATGTGGGGAACTGGATTTAAGATGCTCCTACTTAAACCACAGAGCCTAGGACTTGCCGATCAGAAGGTCAGCGGTTCGAATCCCCGTGATGGGGTGAGCTCCCGTTGCTCGGTCCCTGTTCCTGCCAACCTAGCAGTTCGAAAGCATGTCAAAATGCAAGTAGATAAATAGGTACCACTTCAGTGGGAAGGTAAACGACGTTTCCGTGTGCTATTCTGGTTCGCCAGAAGCGGCTTAGTCATGCTGGCCACATGACCCGGAAGCTGTACGCCTGCTCCCTTGGCCAATAAAGCGAGATGAGTGCCGCAACCCCAGAGTTGGTCACGACTGGACCTAATGGTCAGGGGTCCCTTTACCTTTACCTTTTACTTGGGGACCTCATCACAAAAGGCATCTGCAGTTCCTGGTAGTGGGGTTTCCTGGTGTTAGCAAAGTGAAGTCAAAAAATTCAAACCTAGTCCAGAGAGAAAGGAAATCACAGTAGCACTTTACTGGTAAAACTGATCAAAAACAAGTGTATAAACTGAGGAGAAAGAAAAGAAAGATGTTGTCCTTCTGACTTCAAAGCTGTGGTTCCCAATGTGGGGTACACACGCCACAGGGGGGCAATTTGATTTTTAAGTGGGGGGGAATTTGAGAATGATTTATTAGCAGTTAATGGCCTTTTAGGCTTCCTCCACATGAACAGGAGTTCACTTTTTGAATAATAATAATTATATGTCACAGAGGGTGGGCTTCGGGATTTTAGAGATGCTTAGGTGGGGCATGGCCAAATAAAGGTTGGGAAGCACTGCTCCAAAGACATAGAGGAAAAGCTCTGTCAGAACTACACAACCAATGAGGGTGTGGGTCACCTCAGCAAATATGCTACTTGGTGGTTGCTAAGCAGCAGCACCACAGACCCCTCCTCTTGGTTGACTTACCGATATCAGAATTAACCCTTAAGTTGCAAAGTACATGATTCATGCTGCTATACTTAGGTTCTAACCCTGACAGTTGGGAATTTGCCACGACATGCAAGGCAGTGGCCCGCTTTTTTGAAAGCTAGGTCCTTGAAGCACACAAGCGTCATAAAGATTCGCTGGCTTCCTATGTGCTGCCACCGCACACCCTCCTGGCATTGCTAAACACTCCAGGGGCCTCTTTGTTTATCGCACTAGTGCTTGGTAAAAGATATCATGCATCATTGGTGACATTACTGTCATTTCTACTCTGGCAGGGTTGTGACAGAACATTGCAACTCCTCTTCAGGGACAGGAGGCATCTGGTAGAGAGTGAAACTCTGATTAAACCCACCCACATGATAACAGTGATGATCATAAAGTACGCAGAGGAAGATAGCAGGCCAAGCACTGAGAGGGATCCAGTCGTCTTGCAGAGAGGCAAATTAGGAGTAAGCCAGCCAAGGTCGGCGGCATTACAATCATGAATGAGATGAAGGGATCCGGCCTCCTATCAAACAAGCCTCTCCTTGTTTTTCTGTCTGATACAGTGCAGAAGGCCGTATTGGAAAAGCTCTGTTGGTATTAACCTTTCTTGATTCTGCAGTGAACTTGAGATGAGAGAAAAGATAGAAGGCTAGAGGCTGTCCCATGCATAAGTACGCAAGACGGATGGAAGTACTTGGAGTGTATATTCCTCTCAGATCAATGACCCGGTTAAGGCTAATTACTGCATACTCTCACTCTAAATTAAAAAGGACCTTAATAACTGGAAGGACCATTATGATTAACTGGCTCCAGAGATTAACTGTGATAAGGACGACTGGATGCTTCCAGGTCTCCATGATGGTACCCATTTGTCTCTTTCAAAGCCGGCTGTATGGACCCAGAAGCTGCGTTTTATAAGGTCTGGGAAATGGATGGGCAATAATTTACCAGGAAAGGAATGCAAAGATGAGGGGCTTTTTCCTGCACCAAGCAGCTTTTTGTCATAGTGGCGGAAACTCTATCAAATGTGACATTTTCCCTACGTGGCTCTACAAGGAAATAAAAACAAGCAAAATGGCCTGCTCCAGGCATTCAACCTGCAAATGCTAAGGAAGAAGCTTGCAAATTGACAGGACACAGGCATCAGCCCTGCCGAAAGTCTCCAGGCATACCTACTCTAGTCCCATTTTTTATTTAGCACAGTTTGAAGAGGGCTTATAAGCACATTGGCCTGAGCAAAACAATTCTGAAAATATAAACTTCCCAACTGCAAGTTGGCCCGTAAGCATGTTCAGGTCTACCCTTCAGGCCAAGAGAAATAGCTCAGTAGTAGAACATCTGCTTTGCATGCAGAATATCAGGGGTTCAATCCCCAGTATCTCCAGGTAGGAATGGGAAAGATTCCTGACTAAAACCCTGGAGAGCCACTGGCAGCCAGTGTAGACCATACTGAACTCAATGGACTTGTTAAATGGCAGCTTCTTAGGTTCCTTCGTTCATGGGAAGGGCTGTAGCTCAGTGGTAGAGGAGATGCTTTCAATGCAGAAGGTTCTAGGTACAATCTACACAGAGGGCTTGGAATCCCCTGCCTGAAAACCTGGAGCTCCACTGCCAATCAGTTTAGACAATGCCTAAATGTAGCTACAAGCCCCCTTCAGACATTCATGCAGAAGACATAATATATAAAATATTAGCAATGAGGTAGAAATTCCTTCAGATCCCATTTTAATGCAAACCTACCAAATGCAACACTGTGCAAATGGAAACGAAACTCTCTTTCGAACTGTGCATGTCTTTGACTTTTCCATGTAGTTCTCCAACCAAACAATGTGTATATCTGTGCAAGCAAAAATGTGTGTATTAGTTAAGATAATGCACAAAAAGCCATTCTATTGGGATGGGTGGGGAGGGGGCTTGCTTGCAAAAGTACATCTCAACAGCACATCCCTAGAGATGGAGGCAGGGTCTGCCCAGCCGCCTCACTGCCCATACCCAGGCTCAGGTGTCTCCCTGGTTGCCGGGCGATCTCATTGGCAGGAGGTGTGATGTGGGCTGGTCCAAGCCCTCCCTCCTCCATGGGGGTGCCAGCATCAGCAGAGTGGGGATGTCTCCCCACAGACTATTCAACCCTTCCTGCCATCAAGCCCAGCACTCTCATCCCAATTCTCCTCTCCTCCTGACCAGTCCTGCCAAGAAAACGTTCTGGCGCTCATGACAATTTTGGCCGTTTGCAGTTGGAAAGATGGCTGTTTGCATATGCGTTGCTGTTCTTTTCCAGACTGCTGCTCACTCATTGAGTTTCGATGGTGCTTGGCCAAGGTCTGACCCAAAACACTCCCCTCGAAAGAAATGAAACCGATTTCATCAGATTTCTGAAACCAACCCTGATTCAATTAGAAGAAGAAGCAGACCCCACTGTATAAACTGTGTACAAAACAGCTTATCTGATGCCTTTTATTGAAGCAACAAATGAGTTATAAAATGCATGACCTCTGGGAAACAAAATTTCTCTTTTTTGGATATTGGCAAGCCTAGAAACAAAACAAATAGCCATTTGTATTAATCTTGTTAGAGCTGAGCCATTGGCAAACACAGACATGCAGAACTGGCATAGTATAAAGGCAAATATTCAGCTCAGGTCTCATTTACAACAAGGTGGGGATCCATCTTTAGCCTGCAATGCCAGTGGTGGATGATACTAGAAACAAAAGAGCTGGAGCATAGGTAACATTTGTACATTAGGCCATTATTATTATTAAGGGACGCGGGTGGTGCTGTGGGTAAAACCTCAGTGCCTAGGACTTGCCGATCGTATGGTCGGCGGTTCGAATCCCCGCGGCGGGGTGAGCTCCCATCTTTTGGTCCCAGCCCCTGCCCACCTAGCAGTTCGAAAGCACCCATAAGTGCAAGTAGATAAATAGGTACCGCTTTATAGCGGGAAGGTAAACGGCATTTCCGTGTGCTGCGCTGGTGCCGGCTCTCCAGAGCAGCTTCGTCACGCTGGCCACGTGACCCGGAAGTGTCTGCGGACAGTGCTGGCTCCCGGCCTCTTAAGTGAGATGAGCGCACAACCCTAGAGTTGGACACGACTGGCCCGTACGGGCAGGGGTACCTTTACTATTATTATTATTATTATTATTTCCACTCACATGCTCCTCTTTATTAATCAGACAAGCAGGAAGCTTTGCGTGTCAAAGTCCCCAAGCCACCCCCAAATGAATTCACACTTCACACAGGAATTTTTGTTTAAGGTTTTTGGCATAATTTTGGCCACAACTTTATTAAAATACGTAATGTGAGTGGTTGCTTAGGCATTGGTTGTGACTATCTGTCCCCACCCAGGGACAGAACTGACATCTGCAAACCTGCGAAGTCAGTAAGGGAAAACATTTTTGGGGAGAAAATGGAGCTGGGTCCCAGACCCTCATCTCTCCCCAAATGCTCCCAGGGGCTCTTGCGTGGCCCTAGCCCCCTCGACAGGGGTGCAGACAAAAGTATGGTGAGCCCCTGGATTCCTTTAATGGAATACCCTTGCAGCAGCAGCATTGGAGGGGCGGGCACAGCCAATCCATAACCCTCCACCAACCAATTTTCTAAAACCAATGCCTAACTGCAACCTTACATGTTGTGACGACTTGCTATGCAGTAGGCAAAAAATCAAATGGCACCAGCCAATCAGCCAAATGGACAAAATTCCTACCAGGCCCCTGCCCCCAAAGCAGGCGATCCCATGACAGGCATAGCAAGGTCAAACGCAAAAGCCCTTAAATTAGGGAGGGTGGGAGGGTGATCCGATGCATGCAGCGAAAAGAGGAAGCTCAACGCTGAGCACAAAGAAAATATAACCTAAGGCTGTTGATCAATAACTGGCAACATCAAACTCTCCCCAACAATAAGAGAAGCCCAATCACAATGGTGGACATCCAAACTAACCCGCCTGGCAACAGCAAGATGTCTTGTTAACCCCACAACAACCCGTGCTTTCCATGAAGGAGAACGCGCTTTATCAGAGTTCAAGGGCATATTCCTCCCAAGCAAAAAATAAAGTTGGTGTATGAAGTCACATGGGTGGTGCTGTGGGTTAAACCACAGAGCCTAGGGCTTGCCGATCAGAAGGTTGGCGGTTCGAATCCCCGCGATGGGGTGAGCTCCATTTGGTTGGTCCCAGCTCTTGCCAACCTAGCAGTTCGAAAGCATGAAGTGCAAGTAGATAAATAGGTACTGCTGCGGCGGGAAGATAAACGGTGTTTCCATGCACTGCTCTGGTTTTCCAGAAACGGCTTAGTCATTCTGGCCAGATGACCCAGAAGCTGTATGCCGGCTCCCTTGGCCAATAAAGTGAGATGAGCGCCGCAACCCCAGAGTCGGCCACAACTGGACCTAATGGTCAGGGGTCCCTTTACCTTTACCTTTTTATGAAGCAGGGTCCGTGAATGGCATGTCATGCAGATGGTTCCAGGGGCCATATAGAGAGGTCTAGAGGGCTGCATTCACTCCCTAGGGTCTCCCCAACCCTACACTTCACAGCTGATAGCTAGTGCTTTTGTAAACCCCTCCTGCTCAAAAATCACAAAACATGAGTGCCGGCTATTTCAAAGCATTCCAAGCATACTTGTCTTTACTACTGTTGTTCTAATTAATAATATGCTTATAATGGGGGGGTGGATATATCTTTCAAATCCCAGCCTATTCCATTGATGCCAAATGCTAGATCAATCCCTTCACATTTCAAAGCGGTGCTTGTTAAATGGAGGGGGGTAGTGGGGTTGAAAGCAAGTTCAATTATGGAAAGAGTTTGGCTGTTGGGGCGGGGGAGAAACCAGCACACAAACAGGATTAGCTTCTGTGGAGAAATCATTGATGGCCGTGCAATTGACACAGAATCCAAAAGCTTAGCAGCAGTAGTCTCATGTTCAGGGTTCCTCTGCTTTTATCTTCAGCCACAAGGAAGTTATGCTTGCTTTCCACCATCCTGGGTTTTCATGAGTCAATCTTAACGAGTGATGTCTCTGAAAACCATGACTGCTTGGCTCAGAATGCAAATTTCTCCACCTCCTAATGCTCAACTGTGTCTGGCTCAGTACCATTTATACCCCTTCCAATTCCTCTCATATAATATTCCAAGCTTGTACACAAAGGAACAGAGGTGCATGTCATTTTCCTGAGTGCATACAAAGGATGTTGCTGCTGCTGCTGTTGTTTTAATATATTGCCCACCCTTCACAGTAATGTAAAATACAACATTAAAAACAGTTTAGAACAACTTGCAATCATAATATTATTGGTACAATCTATTACCCACCAGGATTCAGGTGCCCTGGGAAAGTGATGTTTCCCAAGTCCCTTCTTACCTGCATAGCTGGATCTGTCAGTTTCAGTTTCTTATCTTTTCAGCCTTAAGTTCAGCTCTCCACATTTCCATATCAGTTTGAAAAAAAAATTTAAGTCCTCATGAAAGTAATTGAGTCCTAATATGCTCTTTTTTTGTATGCAGTATTACTTAATGCATACTTTTTTGCCAAGCAAAGACCTCTACTTATATAGCATGTTAATGTTATTTGCACACTCCATCCTAGCATATAGTTTTTTTGTACACACTACTTGGCCAGGGAACTAAATCTGGGAAAGTGCACATTTTGAAGGATGGCATCGCTGGGGTAAGGTGTTGAGTGGCAGGCTGAGATCCTTGAATCATAGTATTGTAGAGTTGGAAGGGACCTCAAAGTTCATCTAGTCCAATGCCCTGCAATGCAAGAATCACAACTGCATGGATGAGAATGGATGAGGATGTGGAACAGGAGGATGACAGCAGGACAGGGACTGGAGAAGATTAGCACTTCCCCATCCCAGAGTACAGCTAATCTGGATGTAGAAGCAGGCTCCTTCCTCTCTACTTACTTCTCAAGGAGTGGAGCGCAGCAGTGGAATCCAGGGATGGTGTCAAGCAACTGCTGGGGCGGAGGAACTAGAGTCAAAAGGGAAGGACACAGTCTGGTCCCCCAGGACCAGGCAGCACTCTTGTCGCTGGGTACATATGCATTCTCTTCAATACAATGGGCAGCTGCCTGCTCCACAGCCTCACAAGACCTTGGAAGGAAGCTCACGTTTCCCCATCTTTTAAAACTTGGTGGGTGGGTGTGCTAACCCATTGGGACAACTCCATTACTTCCACACAGCACTAAACTCCTTGCCCTGGTCCATAACCTTGAACTACCTGTCTAGCCTCACCTCTACTGTCCCATAGACTACTCTAGCTATACCTCTACTCTGCTTCAAGAAAGATTTCTTCCTTACTCTCAAGTAGGAGCCTCTGTTGTCATGGTTCAAGAGGGAGTCAGGACAATGGCTGTGTGTTTTGGTGTGTGTTTTGCTTTGGAATGTGCA